CGAGACCCCTTTTTCCCCCGAGGGAGTCTTCCCAGGTGGGGGGGCAGCCGAGGAGGAAGGGGTCCCTCGGCCACGGGCTCCCCCCGAGCCACCCGACCCAGGAGCGCCCCGGCCACCCCCAGACCCGGGTCCCCTCCCACTCCCGGAGACCCGAGAGAAGCCGACCTTCGTAGTTCAAGTGAGCACCGAGCAGCTGCTGCTGTCCCTGCGGGAGGATGTGACAAGGAACATCCTGGGGGAAAAGGGGGCGAACACCCTGGAGACAGGACCCAGGAAGGCGGGGAGAGGCCTCGGGAACAGAGAGAAAGCCCCGGGCCTGAACAGGGACCCGACAGTCCTGGGCAGCGGGAAGAAAGCCCCCATGCTGAGCCTCCCCATGAACGGAGTGATGGTGGAGAACGGGGCGCAGAGAGTCCCGGGCAGCGAGGAGAAGGCAGCGGAGAATGGGGGCCTGGGGTCCCCAGAGAGAGAAGAGAAGGTGCTGGAGAATGGGGAGCTGACACCCCCAAGGAGGGAGGAGAAGGTGCTGGAGAATGGGGAGCTGAGGTCCCCAGAGGCCGAGGAGAAGGTGCTGGCGAATGGGGGACTGACGCCCACAAAGAGCGAGGAGAAGGTGTCAGAGAATGGGGGCCCGAGATTCCCCAGGAACATGGAGAGGCCACCAGAGACTGGGCCTTGGAGAGCCCCAGGACACTGGGAGAAGATGCCCGAGAGTGGGGGTCCAGCCCCCACGATCGGGGAGCCAGCCCCAGAGACCTCGCTGGAGAGAGCCCCCACACCACCCGACACAGCGGCCTCACCCCGGAACGGCGGGGCGACAGCCCCTGGCCCCCTTGGCCCAGCCCCCAGGAGCGCGATGCCGGAACCCGAGACCGGGACCGAGAGGAGAGCCCACGAGACTGGGGGGGTGCCGAGAGCCCCCGGGGCTGGGAGGCTGGACCTCGGGAGTGGGGGCCAAGCCCCAGTGGGCATGGGGACGGCCCCCGGCGGCGGCCCCGCAAGCGGCGTGGACGCAAAGGCCGGATGGGTAGACAACACGAGGCCGCAGCCGCCGCTGCCGCTGCCGCTGCCACTGCCACCACCCCCGGAGATACAGCCGAGGAGGCCGGAGCCAGCGCTCCCGAAAGCCAGGGCGGAGGTGGCACCCGAGGGAGAGCCCGCGGTCCCAGACAGCAGGGCCGGCGGAGACACGGCACCCAGCGGAGACGGGGACCCCCCCAAGCCCGAGAGGAAGGGCCCCGAGATGCCTCGACTGTTCTTGGACTTGGGACCTCCTCAGGGGAACAGCGAGCAGATCAAAGGTGAGGAGCTGCGGGGAGCACGGTTGAGGCCAGGTCCGGCTCCTGAGGAGCGCAAGGCAGTTCAGGGTGCAGGGCTCCTGGTGGCTGGTGGCGAATGCAGGCCGGGAGCCGCCACCTGGGCTCAAGTCCAGGCGGTGTCCCCCCCCTAGTTCTGTGACCCTGGGCAAATGTCCCCACAGCTCTGCCGCAGTTTCCCTGATAGCTTATAGGGTCGTTGTGAGAGTTAAACCAGTTAGGGCCCCAAAGCACTTAACCAGCACCTGGGGCTTGGGAAGCTCCTGCTTTGCTGGTTGTAATTCCTACAGATCAGGGGCTCAAACTCTGGATGCCCACAGGGGCCAGACGGTGTAG